CGCTTTCGCTGCTGATCAGTGTTTGTCATTCATATAATTCAGGAACGAGGGGCAATTACACGCACTGACGCTCTACCCGCCTTTCTTCCGTTTGTAAATAAACGTAAATAGTGCATTTTAATACTCGAAGCATTTCTGATACTTGAAAATCGCGTCTTTAAAAATAAAACAAGTTATGCAGGTGTTTGCTCTACCAGTATTATCGAGATACAATTCCGGTTATATCTGATCGATCGAATCAATACTCGGATAAGAATTTGTGTTGTTACTAATACATTATACAAGGTGAACCAGAATGATCAAATGTCAGTACAGTCACAAACTATCGAATCTCAATTTACGATTATTCGTCGCGATTATATCTTCAACATTTTTACAAAATCAATCTTATTACAAATTAATTCGTAAAACGGATTTATTTATAAAACAAAACTAAGTATAAATTGTTTTGATGTATATGTTCATTGATTATTAACTGTGTATCGTAGTCGCCAGTAAGAAAGAGAATTAAATTATTAAATTCATAAAACGATCAATACTGGACTAAAAAGATTCTTTATTAATTTAACTCATCTTTTTTAATAATCAATTTACATATATATCAAAATAATTTATATACATAAAATTAATACATTAAAAGATTTTTTATTAATTTAACTCATCTTTTTAGTCCAGTATTGTCGTTTTATGAATTTAATAAGTTTTAAAACTAAGTATTTTAAAATAAAATTAAAACTGGATGAAAATGAATGAATTATGTAATATTATTGTCTGCTCTTCATCTTCGAAGAACATTTATCTGATTATAGAATTCTGTAACACCTTGTATTGCAATTTATCACGATGACCGTGATGATGATTCAACATATGCACATACATTATAGCGAGAGCTAATAATATTACGTTATAATACGTTCGACCAGACATTCGCACCTTCGATCGGTGTAAAAAAAAAAAAGAATTTATAAAATACATCGCATTACGGTATTTGCAATTACAAACGCTTCTGTCTATTCTTTAACGATGCGATAATATTACAGCCGATCCAAGATTGTAGTATAATTAGCGTGGCAATTAACTATTCCACCTCAGCATTTGGCGTGATGTCTCTTTAATAAAAAAGTCGTGCCGTAACAGAGCTCAAAAAGTGAGGCTGTTATTGTGAAAGAACGTCGGCGACTTACAATTAGTTGCGTGTTTCGCCTCGCAAATTATAACGTGGCCGATTGTAGCATTTGTTAACTAGATATTAACCCTTTCAGACCCGATGTCCAATGTGTCTTCTTATTTACTATGCAAAATAATTGCATACATACTCGGTACAGTTCATGGGCGTGTTTCGAACTATCGCTGCAATTTTCATTCGATATTCGATCTGCTTAAGAATGATATAATAAATTAAGTTTAATAATAATAAAATAAAATATACGGTTACATAATAATATGAGGCTAAAGAAAAGATTAAATATTTCTAGAAAGAGTATAATTGATTGTAGTCTTTTATTTTTTTTATGTTTAAAATGATTGTAGTGAAAAATATATTAGAATATTATGTATATAATAAATTATTATTATAATAAATTAAGAGAGAAGAAAATAAGAAGAAGAGAGGAGACATATTAATAATAATAATTAATAATTATTATTACTATGTGTCTCCTCTGTTATAATAATTATTAATGTGTCTCTTTTTTTATTTTCTTCTCTCTTAATTTATTATAATAATTATTTATTATATATATAATATTCTAGTATATTTCTCACTATTAATAATAATAATTACTAATATGTGTCTCCTCTTTTTTTTATTTTCTTCTTTCTTAATTTATTATAATAATTATTTATTATATATATAATATTCTAGTATATTTTACACTATTAATAATAATTACTGATATGTGTTTCCTCTCTTTTTCTTATTTTTTCTTTCTTAATTTATTATAATAATTATTATTTATCATATATGTATATAATATTTTAGTAACTAGTATTTTATAATATAATAATATTATATTATAATATTAATATTAATATTAATATAAAATATTATATAATATTTTAGTAACTAATATTTTTCACTACGATCATCTGAAAAATATTGAAGACAATTAAATAAAGAAAAATAAAAATAAAGAAAGAAAAATAAAAGACTACAATCAATAATTCTCTTTTTAGAAATATCATCTTTTCTTTAGCCTCATATTATTATGTATAACATATAACCGTATATGTTATTTTATTATTATTAAATTTAACAGCTCGAATAACGAATAAAAATTGCAGTGATAGTTCGAAACATGCCCATGAACTGCACCGAGTATGTATGCAATTATTTTGCATAGTAAATAAGAAGAGACACATTGGACATCGGGTCTGAATAACTGGTATTATATCAGTTATTTTATGTATGGGAATTACATTAATTGCGATTTTCAAATTGATCAATTTACTCAAGATGTTAATATTTTTCCTTTTTTTAAATAAATATCGACGGTCAAGTTGTCTAGCACGTTGCGTAACGAGCGTCGAGAACAGCACGTAGGAAATGTCAGGTCAGAGCGAAGAGTATGATGATTAGATAGGATTACTCTCAGTTTTACACATAACGCGAATAATATCAGCTTGTCGCGCGAATTTATCGCCGCTGGTATCTTGATAGCCGCTCTTTGCGTAATACTGAAGTTATCGTCATCCCTCCAAATTAAAAGGATCAAGGTCGACATTATTGCAAATAAAGCCGTCACATCATTTTGCAATTAGGACTAACGAGTTATAAATGATAGGAGCACTCTTTATTTACAATATGCTTGATGTGCACTTGAATCGGAGATAGCAATACAAAGTTCTTGAATCGATGAGAACCTATTTGTCGATATCTGACGATTGTGATCGCTTGAATATGTTCAAAGTTTCATTTCGAATGGAATACATTAAATATATGTTTAATTTTTAAAAGATAATTAGAAAAATTAATTTATTAGAAAAATTAATTATTGATATAATACTTTTAATTCAGTCTAGAGATCTAAAATAAGAAAATATACAAGCAAGACTTAAGAGGTTGCGAGATGCAATCGTACAAGTGCAATCTGCAATTGACAAAGTGCGTATCTTAGAATTTATCGCATGAACTTTTTGCGCAAGATTCGTATAAAAGTATTTGAAATTCGAAAAAATTCTGGGTATTCTTTTATATTTATATGTTTTTTTAATATTGAAAATATCTCGGATGTTATACAATATTTACGAAATTAATTTAATTAGATGCAACAGTCATTTTTTATTTTTTTTTCTAGCGCTAGAAGCAAAAAATAGTGACGCAGAGCAATTAAAAGCGAATTAAAAACGCGATAATAATGTCGAGAATATAAGATCTAAAGGAGAAGACACTCGCAAAAACTTGTAATTTTCCGCATTAACCTACATTTACGTCCTCGATCGCTTTGCTATTACTTGTTCTCAAGTAGCGTTTGTCGATCATGAACTTACTAACGGAAATTGAAACTGGGTTATTTTCGGCGGACCTTTCTCTCTACATCGCAAAATTATTAAATCCAATTAAAGCATTTCACGGTATCATTTATCCGCGTTAACAAAATTTATCGCCTCATTGTAAATTAATATTTATATATAATTATTCATATTAGAGAGGAGTATTAATAATGTTTCATATTTCTTTCAATAAGATTTTAATGCGTGGTTTAAATCATTAAAACTTCAGCTGATTTAAAGTTTTAGCTCGATATTATATTTGAATAATCTTATGGAAAACATGCAAATTTTTTAAAATAAAAAATTGATGAGACATAAAAAAATTCACGCGACGTCTTACCGTCACATTTTTATACTCGTCGATTTCGTTTTTTCTTAACAAAATATATGTATTTCTCAAATTTAAATTTTTAATTTTAAAATTTTACTTTTTTAATACAATAAATTGTCGGCGCTAAATATTACAGCAATTAATTGATTTTTGCTGCACTGAAAAAAAATTTATTTCATTCGAATAAGTATTTAGTTCCATACTGTCAAATGAATCATTTATTTGAAACTAATAATATTTGTATTACACGTGCAGGCAAAGTGGCACTTTGTGTGCGTGTTTTCTGTGCGGAAAGCGGCCGATTTCCCACGCCGCAAGATGGCGGCGTGCGATCGGTCACCTCGCGCACAGAAAACGCGCACAAAGCCACTTTGCCTGCACTTGTAATAGAAAATAGTATCAAGTGCGGAAAGTTGACAATTGTTCACTCGTGTGGGGTGGTCCATCCCCCGCACTCGTGATCAATTGTCAACTTTCCGCACTTGATACACAATATACTATTATTTGTTACTAAATATGTATTAATTTAGTCATTTTTTCAATGTGTAAAAAATGAAATCCAACTTTGGATGAATTAAAAATGAGATTCTATTTTGTAAAACAACTCTCTTTAATAATAGTTAATTCTTAGTAATTGAAGGAAGAAGTGTCGATATTTCTGTTACAAGCTAGACGTTAATTCTACGGAATGCACAGACAACGAGAAACTCATTTGTAACACTAAATAATGAGTAGGCTGATCTAGAATCGCAAGAGCTCGTGCCTTGAACTATCAAAGTCCGCAAAGCACGTAGCGTTCTAAGTAAGTAAATTACAATGTTCCGTCTATACATTTTCGTCTCTCTTCGCGAAAGGCTATTATTATTTTTCGAAATTGCAGCATCGGGATAACGGGGAAGCGCGGAGAGAAAAAAATTCGCTGCGACGAAGTTGCGCAGGAACCAGGAAGACGAAAGAAGGGGACAAGAAGAAGGTTCGCTGGCGAAAGCGAGAGAGGAAGAAACGCTGGAGCAGGAGGAAAGAGAGAGCATCATCGCGAAGAGGAGGGAATAAGAGGACCGGGAGGGAGCTGAAGAATGAAGGAGCAGCGGCGGTGACTTGAAGAGTTAGTAGTAGTAGTGGGCACCGAAGGGGGCAAAAGTGGAGCGGCAAGTGGGGGCAGGAATAAATCGTTCACCTGGAGCGGGTCGTGGCAAGGATCGCGACGATCTCTCGCCAGTGTCTCGGCCGATCCCGCATCGATCGCACCACGTCGCTCGCATCAGCTCGCCAAGCAAAACCACCAACATTTACATAGATACGTGCGTGCCCGGGTGTCTCGCTCGATTTTCCATCGATTCCTCTCTCTTGCTCTCTCTATATCCTCTTCTCCCTTCTCCGATTCTCATCCGATCTTCCCGTTGATCCTTTTCTCTTCTTCTTCCACCTGTTCCACCTCTCTTTCTTTCGCCTCTCCTCATCAGCATCCCCTGTATACGTCTCTCGGCTCCCACCTTCCGGATCGTATATGCCTCTACCTTGCCAAAGTGCAGCATCATCACCGGCGGATCGTTCCCACGATCACTGTCGCGGCCAGCAGCGATCGAGAAGGTGCTGCATCCGCCGCGTATATTATATACGCGGATCACTCGTCACGTGCCGGGACCGGATTCGAAGAGGATCGACGAGATCGGCGGGATCGTTGCCTTAAGCGAGATCGTGTGGACGTGAAGGATCTACTGGGCGGGACATGTCTTAGCAAAACGGTTCTTCGAAACGACGACGAAGAGGAGACCCCCAACATCTCCATAATAACGTTCGAACCGGCACACTTACTTAGCGAGAGGACCGACTTTCTCCAGTCAAGCTGTGTTCTTCAGCCAGCAGCTCTTCGAGGTCGCCGCGAGAAAACGCGACGAGGACAATAAATCGCGAAAAATCCTACGCATCGCCGTTTATCGAATGACAATTGGGACGGATCCTCTTTGAGAAGAACTGGGTGTACAATTGTGTGCGGGACGCGAGCCTTCAGGGATATTTCGGACAAGAGGAGACGTCGCGAAAGAGACAGCTGCTATTAACGGGGACGCGGAATTTGCATCTCGCGCTTCCTCCTTCGACGATCTCGTGGTGCTGTGTGATCTCGGGGTGAACGCTCGGTGAACGTCGGAGACGTCAGGATGAGGGTGCATCGCGGGATCTGCGCCAAACTGCAGGGCGGCTTTCTCAGACGATGGTGTAAGTAATTTGAACGAAATATATATATATATATATACATGGTGTCCGGTAACTAACGGACCAACGATCACAAATGGATTCTTTGGGAACGATTTTTTCTCAGCGAAAACGTCGAAAAAGGTCATAATTTTTTACAACTTTCCAATATTTGTCATTATGTATCTTTATAGCTAAGCCTCAAATTCAAATTTTATTATAGTAAACTCTACCTGAAATTCAATGAAGAATGTAATTATGTTAGACTTTTAACTCCAAAACGTTTAGTTTTCAAAAAACCCATTTTTTTTCAATCGCTTATAACTCGAAAATTATTGACTTCTCAACATTTTTGATAAAGAAAAATCGTCTCCAAATTGGCCAGAGAATCCGCCCTTAATCATTGGTTCGTTAGTTATCGGACACCCTGTTTATAGATTTTTTATTGCGAGTTTTGGATTGTTCTTATAGAAGAGGTGTATTCTTCGAAAAATCGCTCGCTTTTCAAAAATCTATTGATTGAAACACATTTCTTGTAATATTATACACGCTAGAAAAATTTATTGAATTCGAATACTGTATAATAAATTATTGATTTGAAACTAATAATATTGATTTGATGTGAAATATATTTATTTGATATAAGAAAATACTTTTCGAAACAGACATTTATTTGTTTCAAATATAAATGATTTATACAATATTTATTCGAATTTAATACATTTTTTTCAATACACAGAAAACTTTCTTTTAGAATTTATCCTGAAAATCATGGTAAATCATAATATGGTTTCAGAAGAATTTTTTTGATTAATATTTTACAATAAAAATATTAATATGTACATATAGTAATTATGTACATAATAAAATTAATTGAACATATTTTATTGTGGTACATATTAATATTTTTTATTGTGGTAAATATTAATCAGACACATTTTTTTAAATTCTTTCAATATCATATTGTTCTACAATTTGATTTCACATAATTTTCAGTAAATTTTAAGAGAAAATTTATAATGAAACACAAATATCATCGTCAACATTTTTGGAATCTTTTCTAAAATAAGTGATTAGTTTGACTGCTGTTTAACAAAATTCAGACAAATGATATTTATTGCCAAAAGAAATTTCTTATATATAAATATATATGAGAATATATATTTATAAGAAAAAGTAAAGTATAGGTACGAGACTTGAAAATTTGAAGTCAAATATTTTCAAACTACTTTTAATTAAAATTAATTATTTGAAAATTATATTTTATACAAAAAAATTCCATTGACTTTGCGATTTTTCGACAGATTTCATTTTTTCTGATTAATATTTGAAGAACGACATTTCGTGCATTTGTACATTTTTACAATGCACATTTATCTTTATTATATATATATATCAGACTTTATTGTTAAATAAAAATTGCATGATAATCGAAAAAGCGCATCACGCGCATACATTCGTGCATTTAAAAACGTTCGCGATATATAATGCATACCAAGTTTGCAACTTTCGCGGTTAAATCGTTGTAAGGTGACGATAATTGTCGACGTTGCAAATCAATCGACCAGACGTCATAACATTTCGTCTTTGAAAAAGAATAATAAAATCAATCGTGAATCAGTCGGAATTCAGTTAACATTCTTTAGCGTATTCGGAAGTAAAATCGTGTAACTTTAATGGTCCAATTAAATTTCTCATACTGAGAATTTCATTGAATTTTTAACGATTTATATAGTATCAATAAATAAGTATATACACGGAGAGAATTTTCTCTTATAATTTAGCCTGAAAATTATGTTCATCGTGGGACAATAAGGTATTGGAAGAATTTTATAAGAGTTTCTCTGATTAATTACATATCACAATATAAAATATTAATATGTGGTATACTAAAATTAATTAAATATATTTTATATCGTATTATTAATATTTTTTATTGTGGTAAAAATATTTAATCAGAAAAACTCTTATAAAATTCTTACACTATCATTTTGTCCCACGATTACCATGACTTTAGAACGAATTTCAAGAGAAAATTCTCTCTTTGTATTATATGATTGAATTGAAAAAAATTCCGTGACGTAAGAATGGAAATATCTCTGTAACTTATATAAAGTAAGTACGGTGGTTTTACAATAGCATACACTGAGACAAAAATGTGTTAACTTTTGACTAAACCTTTCAACTAAATATTATTTTGTTAATTGAACATATAAAATATTTAAATTAAATGTACCATATTTTAAGTCTAACAAAACGTAAATTTGACTTAAATACTAATATATGTTCACTTGACAAAATAGTAATTTAGTTGAAAGATTTAGTCAAGTTAACAATTTTTTTCAGTGTACGATACAAGCTTATATCAATAATCAATCGGCAGTTTTGAGTCATTTTTTATAATTTACATTCGAACAATAAAATCCTGCTGATTCACACTTAATTTATATTAATCGAGATTTCCGCATATAAATCCCGAGTGATCTCAGTGATCTGTGATTAATTTTTCTTCTGTCCATTATTATATACTTCATCACTTTTTCAATTTCTATTTATCCACCGCTTGCTCGCGTAATATTTGTGAAGGATCACTTTTTTAAATCATCTTTCTGCGTCATCGTGATGCATGTGCTTCTTCGCTCGCAAGCATGAATCGAGAGAGATGTCTGAACCGGCCGAGAGGCTGCGATTAACTCGATCATGGCGAGTAATGTCACGGTTGCAGCCTGCTCTTAATTTGATTCAATGGATGTGTCATCGCGTGCTCGACCACACTGAATCATTGCGGTTTATTTAGCGCGGCATTGTGTGTAGCTTCGTGTTTTTCTCTCCCTCTCTCTCTCTCAGCTAGTAGTACAAGCCCTACGTCGATGACGACATTGTCGTTGTCTTTAGGAACCTGTTGTCACCTCACGCACATTCGCGTATTCGTGCGGGCGTCCCGTTCGGTTACTTTCACCTCCTGGCCCGAACTCCTCGAAAATTCCTCGGGTTCGTTGCACCAGTACAGACTGACGCGACCGAGCCGATATAATTCCGTAAATTTCTCACGATAGTGTTGGAAAAATTCGCAATAATTTAGTTAATTTTTATAAGGATTTATTTCAGTATTGTCAAATAAATCATTTATTTGAAACTAATAATATTAATAATATTTATTTAATATATGATATATATAATTATAAATATATTTAATATATATATATATATATATATATATATATTTAAAATATATATTTTTAATAAATAATAATAATGATATTTATTTGATATGAGAAAATCCTTTTCAAAACTAATAAATATTTATTTGTTTCAAATAAATGATTCATTTGACAATATTGAACTAAAAATGTGTTAATTTAACAAATTTTGCAGGGTGTCTAGAGAAATCCTTCAAGTCCCTGAAATGCTTTGGAATTTTAATATATGTCCTTTAAAAATATTTTCGTAGATCGAGTAAATAATATTTTATCTTACTTCGTAAATAATGCATAATGTATTTTTTATTATTCGAGATTCGGAGTCTAAAAATATGTGATAAGTTATTTATAGATTTTAAGCGAATATTTATGATAGATGTATTAATTTTTATTGGAATCCTTGAAGTCTCTGAAATGTTCTGGAATTTTGTCTGTCCTTAAAAATCCTGAAAATGTACTTAAATTTTTTGTAGATCTTCGATTTTATTACTTTTAAATATTCAGCTGATTGTGAGACTATTCGAGTAAAATATATTTGATCTTTGTAAATAATCCAAAAATATGTGACAAGTTATTTATAGATTTTAAGCGTTCAGATATAAAATAAGAAAATATGGTATCGAATATTTAATACATGTATTAATTTTCATAAACGACTAAAGTCGATATAAATTGTACGTTAATGAAAATTAATACATGCATTACAAATATTCGATATATATATATATGTAACACATTTTTGGACTCTGTAAATAAAAAATACATTTTGTATTATTTACAAAGTAAGATATATTTTTTGATTTCTTGTACATCTTGATTATACTGTTGGAAAATCGTACAAATGTCTTCAGAATGTCCTCTAAATGCCCTTAAATTTTATTTTCAAATTTTACTAGACATCCTGAAAAAGCATTAAGTTATTAATCCCCGCGGAAATTATGGAAGCTTTTAAAATGAAGTAATGTGTACGGAACATGACTGTTAGTTCGTTCTTCTAGTATAGCAAATAACTTTGTTCCATGTGAAAATAAAAAATTAATTTTTGCGTATCGAAAAGAATTATTACATTTTTTTCTTTATAAAATATTGCCTTGTTATAATTAATTTTTATAGCAAAAATAAATTTTTTTTTTTAAAGTTATTTTATTTTTCTGTTCACGAAATGACGAATTATAAATATGGAAAATTTGTGTTTTACGTCAACTCTGTCAGGTTTCTTGTTATTCATTCAATAATATTTGTCGTTCAATAAGCGCAGAAATCATTCTCATGTATCGGCAGCATTAGCAAATTCTCATTAACGTTATATATTAATTTCAATCTTTGCCATTACATATTTAAGAAAAAAAGAGAGAAAGAGAAAAAGGAGAGGGGATAAAAAGAGAGAAAAGAGACATCACGATTGAAGATTAATTCTGAGGAAAGAATCGTTACGTTACGTTCGCTTTTATCATTTCTTTAACCACATAGTGATGTAACGGACTATTTTCATAATATTCTTCCGGAATCTCTAATGGAATTTTATCTTTACTTTAATTTCAAATAGGGGACGCGATAAATGATAAGTGATTCCATTGAATTCTCACGAATCAATCACAGAAATTCTGTGACTAAAAAAATGATCGATTCAGTTATACTATCTTTCAAATTATTTATCATCAAATAAATTTTTCTAAAAATTTTCAAAACGCGTACATAAAATCAAGATAAAAAATGATGTGATTTTCCTTTTGTTCACAAATGTAAAAATATATAAAGTAGAAGTAAAAAAGACATGTAATAATATCTTTGTTCTTTTATATAATTAGAGAAATCGTCTCGAAG